CCCTCCTCACAGCAAGCCCCGCCAGCAGCGGCGCGCCGCGGCGGCGGAAGCAGTGGCAGCGGCGGCGCGGCGGGCGGCGGCAGCGGCGGCGGCGGCCTGCCCGCGCTGGCGGGCGCGCTGCTGCGTCTCGTGGGCGCGGGGGCCGCGCCGCCGGGGCAGGGCGTCGCGGCTGCCAGTGTGGATGGCGCGGCGTTGGCGCTGCTGGATGTCGCCAAGACGTGTGTGTACCGCGTCACGACGACGTTTGGCCCCGTGCTGAGGGGCCCAGTGCGCGAGGCAGCGGCAGCGGCGGCGAGGCGCGGCACGCCGGGAGCAGCGGGCGCGGCCGAGGCGCTCGACGGGTTCTTGAGAATGGAGGAGTGACTGCTCTGTTTCCGATTTAGTTGCTCAATTTTCCTGCGACGCGCGCCTCCGCAGGCGTTGTGCGCTGTTTCTAAGCATTGCAGGCATGCGTGCTGCCGGCCTTTATTGCTGTGCTGCCGCTGCAGGCGGCTGCGAGCTGTAACGAACCGCCCGCCACAACGACGCCCTCCCTGACAGAACTCCTGCTCAAGCTCACGCAATCCTCACCCCATGTGATTCCGCAATCACATGAAATCAAAACGCGCTAGTTGCGACGCGTGCACGCAGCATCGCAGGACATGCGGCGAACAGCATTCCAGACAGAGCGTTTGCTCGTCAACTTTGCACCACCGCGATGGTCAAAACGAAGCCCTCTCACTGCAGCTCTAGCGGCAACACCACCAACGCACAGACGCACGACCCCCATGCCCAGGTTATGGTGCAGACCCGTGCGACTGCAGGCACTTTCTGCCTGTGGCACCTCTTTTGCCAGCCACGCAGCAGGCAGGCCCCCTCATCAAAAATGGACAGCGCAGACCGTCCCACCACCCCCCGAATCCCTGTCAGCACTCTCAACAGCAATCATGCAAGCCGACTGCACCCACCACGCTCGCCCCCAAAGCAATGGACGCAGCACACAGAAAAGCGGGCTCAAGCTGCCCCGCCCGTGGCCAGCCGCGCGGCGATGCGGGTCCCCAGCCACACCCCGACCGCCGCCAGCCCAACCGCGGCCGCCGTCGCGTCCCTCCGCACGGCCTTGAGGATCTTGCTGTAGGGCAGGCCCGCCCCCAGCTGCAGCAGCGCGGGCTTGGCGCCGTAGAGGAAGGGCACGACCTTGGACAGGATGGTGCCCAGCAGCACGTGGGCCAGCAGCGCCAGAAAGTCGGTGTCGAAGATGCCGCGGCGCCTGCAAGGTGTCGGGGTGCCGAAGGGGGGGGGAGGTGCCGTTGATGGTGTGTGCATGGGCTGCAGCGCGTGGCCGTGGGTGTGAACCATGCCACTGACACTCGCAACCAACCCTGCACTGGGGTTGACGGGAAACGACAAGCCACCACTCCGATGTGGAGACGGTCCACTTTGACCACAAGAGTGCAAGGCAGGCGACAAAAACAAACTGCACAGGGCGGCATCACACCCCACGCCATCCAACTCCACCAACCCGGCCACCTGAAGAAGGAGTAGGCCAGCCGGTCCACCTCCTGCAGCGCGTGGGCATCCTCCAGCCGCGCAGCCGTGAACGCGGCCGGCACCGCGGCTGGGTCGCCGTCCGCGGCGGCCAGCACGCCGTCCAGCACCAGGCACGACTCAAGGGCCGAGTTGGCGCCCTGGGGACCGGGGGGAGGGGGAGGGGGGCCGCGGCGAGCAGGGATGTGGGGAGCTTGAGCTACTCGTTCCTGTTCTGTAATTTCAGAGGGGGGCTCACATCGCAGCTGTGGTGGTGTTGTCTGTGATGGCGGGCGGCGCTAAGCAGGGAGGACGACGATGAATGCAGTGACAGAGGAGGCTGCCCGGCTCAGCGCCGGCCGGGTGATGGCGAGGCGCTTTCCGGCTTCAACCGGCACAGCCGCTGTCAACCAATCAACGGCGCCGCAGAGCCGGCTTAGGTGGGGAGGCCGCGTCACAAGCGGAGCAGTGAGCGCTGTGCAAGAAGCGTCATGCCCGCAGCCCGGCTGTTGGGGCTCACCTGCCCAAACACTGGCGTGACCGAGTGTGCGGCGTCGCCGATGATGAGGCAGGAGGGCGCGTCCAAGCGCGAGCACTTGGTGCGCTTGCCTGGTACAGAGTGTGGGGGCGATGATTTCGGCTTGAGGCTTCACAAGCCAGCGTTGAACATGCGTGCGAGCATCGAGGAGATTGAAGCGCCGGCCAGTGGAAACGCTGGAGGCCAGCCCATCTCCAAAATGCAGGCGGCCAAGCAGCCTCGATCCCGGACCAGACAATCAAAGGTTCCATCGTGTTGCTCTCCCCCGACCACCACAGATACACCGATCCTGGAACTGAGCTGGCAAGATCCTGCACGATGCAGGAGTCCTGGGTTGCGCCCACTCCTCCATGCCTGCCCCACCCACCACTCACCGACC